TATTCGAAGATCCGGATTGCTCTATATCCATGCTCTATAACATTGCTCACCCAAGATGTAAAGTGTCTACTGCTTTGTTATCATCGCCAACACACACCGTCAGAGGAATAGCAATATAAGGAAGATACAAGAAATAAAACGTGTCTTATTCAATTTTTAGGAACAACATCTACATACTCCCTTGTTTAAGGTCAGAAAAATTCCGGCCACACTCCTATTGGGTAGAATACGACACCCTGGACTCTTCCCACGACCTACGGTAGGAAGATGAATAAAATACCAACAATCCGTAAATACTAGAAGCGAGCCAAATTTACGAGCAGACATATGAGTGACCATACCACATTCCACAATCGAAGAACTTGGATCAACCTAATCATACTTGACACAAAAGGGAAATTCCGATACACCACTTACGACGCATGTCAGTAATGATCAACCAGTATTTCGAGGACAACAACGATACATTAGTATCCTGCAGAACAAGTGACTTAAGAAAAAAGTATCACGTATCATAAAATCATCCGGCTGACTATCAAAACGTGGCTGAGCTAACACTGGCTATAAAAAGCCGAGTATTTACCGTTATTTTAAAAGTGTCACAAGACACGAAAGCATTGGGAAGCTCTTAACCACAACTATATTTTGGTAACAATTTGTTATAACCATGTGACATTCGCCTCTTTTAAGTACAATACCAGATTTTGAAATAATATGCTATTACAAGAAACACAGTTAAAAAATATATAGACTGTATGATACAAGGAGATCTATCAAGAACATTTGAAAGCCACAAAGCTCTACGACAGGGAAACGAACTGTCATCTCTGCTTTTTAAGATTGCCCTGGAAAAGGTAATAGGAGTGGCAGGACTCCGGAAGAATATTCAACAAGTCAACGCAGATCATGGCATTCACCGATGACATTATTATAGGAAGTTTGCAAACGGAGGCGGAGCGCATAAATTTTACAAAGACTAAGTATATGGTGGCAAAAGTTGGTGATGGAAACATATCAGAACAATTAGAAGTTGGGGATGACAAAATAGAGACAGTTATACATTTTCGTATACTTGGGATGTCTGATGAATAATAAAAATTCAGTCAACGAGGAAATAAAAAAGAACATAATCCAAGCCAAGTTCCTAAATGCTTCCATAAACGTAAAAACAACTTCACATCCAAGCTACCAAGACAATCAAATTAGTCCTATACTAGGCCTTAATACCACCAGTACTTACATACGGGTCGGAAACATGAATAGAATGATGCTGCCAATGACAACAGTGTCTAGCGTTGGAGTTATAACTTCGAGTACTTAAATTTATCAAAGTGCAAAGGTTGACATAGATTGGACGTGTAGCCAAACTGGACATAAATATTATCACAAGAATTGTCTTTGATCGCTGTGAACCTGTGAGTAGAAGATCGGTTGGGTGATCGAAGAGACGATTTATGGACAATATGGAGGATCTCAATAGGCTGAAGGTCATGGTTTAGAAACGACTGGCGCAGGATGGACAAGTTTGGAACGAACTGGTTCGACAGGATACGGTTCACAACCGTATATGTTGTAAAGTGACTGAGTTCCTGAGATATTCAATTGTTTTTCCAAAATATGTCCGTTGCAGAATCTCTTTTTGAAAACGATGCAAAATTTTGCCCTTAAACTATGCCAGATAATAGCCAAAGCCAGTAGGTAGATGATAGTATATTAAAGTAAGATATTAGATACACTATACAGCGTGATCATAAAACTTAGTAAATGTTGATGTTTTGCAAATAGCTTTCAAGTTCATCAAGTTCATCGTCAAGTTCCCTTTAATTAATGATAAGTATGTCATATGTCTACCTTTAGTAGTTCCTGATATTTAGAATTTAAAGAAAAATGTGAAATAACATATGCCATTATTGTACTTAACCCTTCCTCTGTAAACCTGGGTATTTCCTGTCCGACCTACAACTGTTTAAGCAAATAATTTCTTCATTTCATATAAAAAAGTATGTATGCAAAAATAAATTTTTCGATAATTTTATGATTGATTTATCAAGTTGAAGGTTTCGAACATTATTATGAATTGTTTATAAATTTTTTTGAGTGCATTAATAGGATGAAAAAACGGCCGGACCCGAAAGACCCACCTTTACAGACGGAAGGTGCTAAAAAACCGTTTACAAACGAAGGGTTAATATTGCATTATGTCTGTTTTTATAAATTTTTTTTGTTCTTTCTTTTTTGTTTGTCTCTCATTTATAAATCAGTACTTTAATTAGTAGATTTAACTTTAATTTAACATTAATTAGTACTATTAGCATTTATTAAACAATAAATCCCTTTCTTATTAAATAAGCTATTTGAAGCAAATGCAGAAAAAAACTATAAAAAATTACTAAACATTGTACAAGAAGTAGATACCTAGTTATTAATTAAATTAATAGGCAAACTGACTTTAAGATGAACATAAATAATAAGTTATTAAAATATTTATTAAGTTTTCATAAGACGAATATTTGAATGTTGAAATTTATGCAAAATATTATTTTTGATAAGTAAATAATCAAAAAGTGATAAAAATACAGCGTAAAATGAAATGGCAAAATAATTGCATTTCCATTACATACATTCCTTTTTTAAATCTGGTAATTTTATGATATTTATCAAGTAATTGTATTAAAATTTTGACGTGGTAGCAAAATTCTTTTACATTATAAAATATTAATCAAATAAAAACAGAAAGAAGAAAAAAACTGACAAAAATAGATAGAATGTAATATTAAGTACAATATTGGCATATTTTATTGAACATTTTTCTTTAAATTGAGAATATCACGAAAACTACTAAAATTGGACATGTGATATACTTAACATAAATTAAAGAGAACTTGATGAACAATTCAATCAGTACATAATATAGAGGTGTTCCATTTAAAAAACTTATATAAACGCCATTCGAAAAACATCAAAATTTACAATGTGTTACGAACACGCTGTATAATGTATCTAATATCTTTGGACACAATCATCTACCTACAAGCTTTGACTATTATCCGACACCGTTTAAAGGCAAAATGAGTAAAAAATGTCGTTTTTAAAAAGATCCTGCAACGGGCATATTTTGGAAAAACAATTGAATATCTCAGGAAGTATTAACGCAGTGAATTAGCAACGTAAAAGGTTGGATAACTAAATTTAATTGAATTCATAATATGGTAAAATATATAGGGCTTTCCATTGAAACAAATTTGCATACTCGTCGTCACGCCCAAAGCAACACTCTGTGTAAATGAAAATAATTTTACGTTATAGAAAGTGGCGTTATAGAATCAAACAACTTTGGTTTAAAACATCTTTTTCTATGTCAAATGATTTAGTAGTTATTGACCGCCGAGATACTAATAACTTACCCTGTATATACAGGTGTCCAGTATCGTCCAGATCAAAGCATTACATTATTCTGAAACGATTTTTCTAATAAATTTTTTTCGAAATTTTATAATAACCGCACGGGAACTGTTTAAAGTCATCCAATAGGAGATCGTAAATCAGACCCAGGCAATCGGCCCCACCTACGGCCAGTACGCCGCGCCGTTGCAATCTATTGCGGGACACCTGTATACGGTCTTAGTCCATAAAGAGTTAACAAAAAATATACCTAATTAAAAAATCTGCCTTGATTTATTTGAGACAATATACCGGAAATATCAGAACATTTTCATCCATACACAAGCAGACAACATGATTTATTGTATTCAGAAGAGCTAGAAACAATAATCTTCCGACATTCAACGACAAACTTTGTAAATTTTAATTTTGCAGTTTCACTTCATTCTGAAAATTAAAAAATAATAAGCCTACAAACGTTTATGTCTAAATCTTTGTTATTTTGAATCTTAAGAAAATTTATAAAATGCTTCTAAAATTGGTGTTAATGCTACTTAAAAACTTTTAGAAATATCGCATACANTAATTAGTAGATTTAACTTTAATTTAACATTAATTAGTACTATTAGCATTTATTAAACAATAAATCCCTTTCTTATTAAATAAGCTATTTGAAGCGGATGCAGAAACAAACCATAAAAACTTACTAAACATTGCACAACAAGTAGTTATTAATTAAATTAATAGGCAAACTGACTTTAAGGTGAACATAAATAATGAGTTATTAAAATATTAATTAAGTTTTCATAAAACGAACATGAATGTTGAAATTAATGCAAAATATTATTTTTAATGAGTAAATAATCAAAATTATAGAATTTAGAGTAAAAGTAAATGGCAGAACAATTGCATATTACACTTAATCTCGTAATTTTATGATATTTATCAAGTAATTGTATTAAAATTTGGCACGTGGTAGCAAAATTCTTTTACATTATAAAATATTAAGCAAACAAAAACAGAAAGAACAAAAAAACTGAGAAAAATAGATAGGATGTAATATTAAGTCTTTAAATTGTGAATATCACGAAAACTACTAAAATTGGACATGTGATATACTTAACATAAATTAAAGACAATTTGATGGACAATTCAATCAGCACATAATATATAGGATGTTCCACTTTAAAAACTTATGAAGAAGCCATTTGAAAAACATCAAAGTTTACTAAGTTTTATGAACACGCTGTATAATGTATCTAATATCTTTGGACACTATCATCTACGTATAAGCTTTGACTATTATCCGACATAGTTTAAAGGAGTAAAACATGTCGTTTTTAAAAAGATCCTGCAACGAGCATATTTTGGAAAAACAATTGAATATCTCAGGAAGTATTAACGCTTGAGTTAGTAACAGGGCGTTCCATGGAATCAAATTTGCATACTCGTCGTCACGCCCAAATGCAACACTCTGTATAAATGAAAATAATTTTACGTTATAGAAAGTGACGAATCAAACAACTTTGGTTTAAAACATCTTTTTCTATCTCAAATGATTTAGTTATTGACCGCCGAGATACTAATAACACCCTGTATATATATATAGGTGTCCAGTATCTTCCGGATCAAAGCATTACATTATTCTGAAACGATTTTTCTAATAAATTTTTTTCGAAATTTTATAATAACCGCACAGGAACCGTTTAAAGTCATCCAATAGAAGATCGTAAATCAGACCCAGGCAATCGGCGTCTTTGCAATCTATTGCGGGACACCTGTATACGGTCTTAGTCCTTCTTATCGTCTTAGTATTTTGCAGTTTCACTTCATTCTGAAAATTAAAAAATAATAAGCCTACAAACGTTTATGTCTAAATCTTTGCTATTTTGAATCTTAACAAGATTTATAAAATGCTTCTAAAATTGGTGTTAAAACTACTTAAAAACTTTTAGAAATATCGCATACATTCTTTAAAAAATTTTATTTTAAATAAATTGTAATCGTCAATAAATTTCAGGCGGATAAATTGCTTTAAAATTTGCTTGATTGTTATCATCACAAAATCGGGAATGTGTTCGAAGAGGAATTCTTTCATAATAAGACGGGGAAATAATTCCATATCTAGAATACGGCATCACGTTATAATAATTATAATTTTCGTTGCGACTATACCTCGGAAAATATTTTCCATATTTTTCATTAAATTTCTTTTTAAACTCCCAATCTCTTCCGTTATCCCAATCTTTATCGTTTTCGAATACTTTAAATAAACCATTAATTTTATCAGAAAACGGACTTTTTCTATAATAATTTCCAATTCTTTTATCATAATCCCACTCCTCATCGTCTTGTCCATCATTATAAAACACTGATTTTAAACCGAGACCGTTCTTTAGAAGTGAACCCCGATAAGGTTTTGTTATTTTCTTGCCAAAATCGATTTCTTCATTTTCATCAATCCAATGTAAAGGTTTCGAAACTACTTCCGTCGTTAGAATTAATAGAATAATCAATTTTGATATCAGTGAACGAAGAAGGATCATATTCAATTGAATTTGCTAGATTTTACGGTAAGAAATTCTTGCCTTTTGTTGAAGATTCCATCAAATCTTTAAATTTTCCACGGTGGTGTTTTTTAAGGTATGATATTAACAATTTCCGCCGTGAAGTTTCTTATTTTTTTTTAAGTCATTATTTTTTCCGCTCCATCTGTTACTTAATAGTCAAAATTGATCATTAAGGTTTAATACTTTGTAGATTTCTTTTTTTCTGTCACTACCTGTAATCAAAAAATCCTCCTAGATCTAGAAACATTCGGGTTGATTCGGGTTTAGTCGTGCGTCTCTAAAAATGGCTAAATCCGAATGTTTGTAGTTCTAGGTTTAGTGTAGCTTCTACTCTTAATTCAATAAAAATCTACCGCTAAACAACACTTCAAACTAGAAGTAACACTAAACCTAGAATTAGAAAGTTTCAAGACGAGTTAAAATAAATTTGATAAATTCAGAATAAAATTTTGGTTTTTTATTTTTATATAGAATTAATTACATATGAAAAAAATTAAATAAATATTTTTTACAAAAAAGCGAAAATAAAGTAGATGAAAAACATTTTAGTTACCGATGATGAGTTTTCATTTTTTGAAAACTATTAAACTTTTGGTAGGCCGCGTTTAAAAGTTGGTTAAGATGTTTCGTTAAGTGTTGAGATAATGGAGAGAGCTCCCTTATAAGTTTATCCTAAAAAAATAAAAACAATTTGAAACAATTAAAAAAAATTACATCAAATAACTTACCTCGAATGGTTTTAACTTTACAGCATGATATCGATTTAACGCTTCATGCATTTTAATTAATTTTTGCTCAGCTGTTGGGGTCGTTGGTGGAAAGCATTTCCAAAAATGACTCAATAATTCGCATAACGCCAAATAAAGATTTCTCACCTCTTTTTCAGTATCAGATGGAACCAATTCTAAATGTTAATTTAAGATATCAAAATTAAAATCGTTTAATTTAACTCATTACATTAAGACAAATGAAATTATTTTTTCTTATTTAATTATTTAATAGGTTTCATATTCAGACACAGTTTACCTGCATTTAATGTTTTATCTTACGTGCTAAAGATTGTTCTTGAAATCCTCTCATAAGTGCCCCGCCAGGCGATAATTCGCCCAAAACACTAACTGCAGCCCCTGGATTTACTAAAGTCGCTGAAGGTTGTCTAACGAACCATTGTTTAGTTTCTTGTATCACATTTCTACACACAGCAGCCGCTTCGTTTGAAGATAATTGTTCAGTTGCCGCTCCAGGAATTGGACCATGCAAATATCTTTCTACCTAAACAAGAACAGAAAACTTTAAGTTTGTCAGAAATTAAGGAAAAATAGCAAATGTTAAATTTATAACACAATTTTGCGATAAATTTATATATAAAAAATTTACCTTTGATAAATTTAATTGGGGAACTTTATTTATTGACCGATCTACTTCAGTGTCGAGGTCATCATAAGTTATTTTTTCTTGTATCCTCTGTTTTTTGCTAACGTGTTCTACACCATTTTCTTTGTTACTATTCGTTTCATCTTCATCTCTGGCTATTTTTGAACTCGTGCCTGGATCTGTACCGTTTTGAACATTCTCACTGGGTTTGCTTTTTGATGCTTTTAAAACCTAATTAATATAAATATAAACAATTAGAAATTTAGAGATATTAGATATCAATGTGTTGATAGTTTATGTTATGGTTTAAGTGATACAGAGAGTATAGCAATCAGGGACAGCGTCTTGCCTTGAATATGATAAAAGAGTTGGGGAGATTAGGGAGAAATATGACAACTGATAATTCTTTTAACTGGGACATTCCCGAGAATTAGTCATGAGACGGGAGAAGCAGACTAATTCAATTAGCGTACAATACAAAAAAAAATTCTCAACACCAGCTTTCTCAGATGACCTCCATATTTCTGCAATTTTAGAACGAGACCTGGAGGTTTTTTAGGGTGTCGTGTAGCAGATAACTTCAACCTTGATTGAAATGCGTTATTTAAGGACTTCGATAATACTGGTTAAGTTGGCCTTAAACACGATTGGTATAGGTTGCATTTCGCGTGTTGTCAAGGATAGTGAAAAGAGTTTGTTTTGCTGAAAATGATACAAATCATTTCAATAGATCACTCTGAATCAACTACTGTTCATCAGATTCTATTTATAAAAATCAAGAAATGGAATTGGCTTCTGAGAATATTATTACAAAATCTCATTCGTTGCTGAAAATCATCCGAATTTAGAAACTGCATTGTCTAAATGTTGTAAGAATAACCTGAACATCTCGATGAAGAATCCTTATCACCGAACACTTAATCTAATGAATCTTACTACTTATTGCAACGCGTGAGGCATGATGTATCGATGGCATAGACCTCTTTGCATCGTTTGTCGTACAAGAATGATGTTTTTGAGAGTACGAATTTTTTTATATTATATAATTTAAAATAACATTAAATAATACGATATGTTTAACAGCAAACTCTCGTCAATTTCATAAGCTTTAACTGTATTTTTTACGATCCTATATTTTTTACCCGTCCAATGATTCCCACTGGGGCGCGGCGACTAAAACCAGACTATCTGTTAGGATGATATTAAACCTACACAAGTGCATAATTATTTAGCAAACCGATGTACCAGCGCGACCTAACAATTGGTAAGAAAAACAGAACGTACAAAAGTTTAATATATGACAGTTAAATATCATGCTATCTCATATTTAAAAAATTAGATAGCAGAGCTGATTTTTTCAAACAGGACTCATTATTGACTTATTGAATTTAATAGACTTCTAATGTTTCTAAGAAAGATAATGTATCAGATTACTTTATTTATTTTCATGGACACATACGATTAATGAAATTAATTCAAAGACGATTTTGTATTTTTTTGTGTATAACCTGATAATGTAATCAAAAGTTTACTACTACTTTACTCCTGTGTACACCACATACAGTGATACAATAAAGTCTACATACACCCCAGAAAATGATAATATCTCAGCTCCTGAAATGTAATTCAATGGATTTTTTAAACGAAAGATATTAGAAGTCTATATTATTTTAATACAAAATCGAAACAGTTCGTCTTTAGACGCACAGCTAAATCCGATACTTTCTAGTTCTAGGTTCTAGTTCTAGTTGGTTCTAGTGATAGTGCAAAACTAGAACTAACACTAGACAGAGAACTAGAAACATTCGGATTTAGCCGCACGTCTCTCAAGACGGCTAAACCCGAATGATTTTAGTTCTAGGTCTTGTGTTAGTTCTAGTGATAGTGCTAGTGTAAAACTAGAACTAACACTAGACCTAGAAAGTATCGGGTTTAGCCGTAGCAGCTAACCCAACCCAGAATTTACAACCCACCCTCTACTCAATGCGCAACCCGACATATGAGAAATTCGCACTGATTTAAATGTTAATTAACCTAACTCAAAGTGGAATTATTACACAAAATTCTGAAATAAATCAGTAAATTAGGTGGATCCGAATGTAACGTTTAAAGAGGAGGTAGGGTATCAGGTATACAGGGGTGTCTGGAAATGACCTATGCAACGCAAGACCACTTTGACCAAAAATATGATGATTTAACTCAACCTATCTATACCGGGTGTCCCTCAAAAGTGGCTCACCCCCATATTTTTCTTTATTATTGGTGAAATAAGAAAACCATTTGGAATGCATAGTTAGGTCGCTAAAACGGATTATTACGACATGAAATCATTCTTTTTGTACTTCCGGTTATACCGGATGTGAGTACTAATTTCGCTATTTTTTTAAATCTATAATTTTTTTTTCTTCAGTTGGGTTGATAGTATAATTTCACATAACTTTTACTTGAAAAAATTTTCACGATCGCTTATAATTTTTGAAAAAAAAATTATTTTCGTTATTTTATAACGTTTTAGTACCTTCGGAAAATGTATTACAACTTTTGACGCATAGTAGCTAGGTTAATAGTATAAACTACGTTATGTCCCTCTTGATTTGCTATTTCTCGAGCAGTGATCACTGCTATGCTTTAGTCAGTGGTTCTTTTTTAATAATGGTGTAAATTAACAGTTGTATTAAATTAGTTTTAAAAGAAAAACGCGATCAAACAATTAAGTTTAATTCAATTATTTTTGATTTTTTTATTTTTTCTTTATTTTTTGTTCTTTTACACTAAATGTTCTGTAGCTGATAGTTACTTACAATGTCCATTGTACATTATAATTTGGATTGTTTACTTTATTTTGGTTAAAACCTCTCAGATCACCTGACCTCACACCTTTAGATTCTTTTTATGGGGCAAAATCAAAAATGAGCTGTATAATACACCAGTAAGGTCTCGTGAGGTATTAGAAAATAAATCGAGTTAGAAATTGTATTACCTAAATATCTCCGCAGGAATAACGTCGAGTCGTTAGATCGACAATACGCAAGATACAATTATGTCAAAATCGAGGCGGGAGCATTTTGAAAATTTAGAAAATTAGTTTTTTTGAACTTACAATTGAATTAAATTTAATTGTTGGATAGCGTTTTTCTTTTAAAACTAATTTAATACAACTGTTAATTTACACCATTATTAAAAAAGAACCACTAACTAAAGCATAGCAGTGATCACTGCTCGAGGAATAGCAAATCAAGAGGGACATAACGTAGTTTGTACTATTAACCTAGCTACTATGCGTCAAAAGTTGTAATACATTTTCCGAAGGTACTAAAACGTTAAAAAATAACGAAAATAATTTTTTTTTTCAAAAATTATAAGCGATCGTGAAAATTTTTTCAAGTAAAAGTTATGTGAAATTATACTGTCTATCCAACTGAAGAAAAAAAAATATAGATTTAAAAAAATAGCGAAATTAGTACTCACATCCGGTGTAACCGGAAGTACAAAAAGGATGATTTCATGTCGTAATAATCCGTTTTAGCGACCTAACTATGCATTCCAAATGGTTTTCTTATATCACCAATAATAAAGAAAAATATGGGGGTGAGCCACTTTTAAGGGACACCCGGTATACAAAATTGTTCAGTTAAGGCCCATTTTTACCATCCTCCTGGTAAACTATCTAGAGGATGGTTGCCATGGTTACGGCGGTTTTAAGCGCTCTCATTGGCTAAGAACTGGATTTATCTATCGGATAAATTTATCAGGAGGTGGTAAAAGTGGGCCTTAGAGGGCTGTAAAAATAATATTTTTTTTTAAACTTTTTTTAAATAAGTCGAAAAACCCTCAGTGGATTTTATTCATTTTTTGGTGATGCGTTTGTATCAGTAGACTGCTATTTGTAGAATAAAATCTAATTTCGAAAATTATAGGGTGTTTAAAATCTTTGTCACAATAAATTATGCATCCATATCTTTTTAACCCCCTTTACAAACACTACAATATTTTTTTCTGGATAGTTACCTTAATTTAGAAACTATTTTCTCTCTTACAAAATTTCAGTTGGGTGACCGGTTTAGCCACAAAAAATATTTTCTAAATCCCCACAAGCACGAATGAGTGATGTAAGATAACACTAATAACGTTTTTTTAATAGTTGGCTAGGTATAATTAATTTTAAAACCAAAAGTAACTTAAACTTGACAGCGGTAATCGTATTTTTCGTTTTTCGTTTTATGTGTCTGATTCATCATGAATTTTTAAAACCTTCTAGCGACTAAACTAAGAAATTTAAAGGGGGGTTAAAAAGATATGGATGCATAATTTATTGTGACAAAGTTTTTAAACACGCTATAATTTTCGAAATTAGAGTTTATTCTACAAATAGCTGTAGTCTACTGATACAAACGCATGACCAAAAAATGAATGAAATCATTGAGGATTTTTCGACTTATTTAAAAAAAAATTAAAAAAAAAAAATATTATTTTTAACGCCCTCGGTTAGCGGTTAAACTAAGCAATTTTGTATACAGGATGATTCTCAACCTATACGCATAAAGTGAGGGATTTATTCCTCAGGACAAATAAAGACTAATAGATGAAAAAATTGTAGTAAAAGTTTTTTAGTTTCCTAGATATCCGATATAATCGGCGACATCTAGATAATGTGTTTCCTGGAAGATGGATAGGTCGAGATGGTCCAATGGCCTGGGCACAGTGGTCAATCCTCTTGATTTATACCTTTCGGGTCACTTAAAAAGCAAATACTCAGCAAATATTGCAAAATCAGATACATGCTGCTGCCCAGACAATTCGCCAACACCCTGGTTTAGGCCGCGCTAGTGGGCGCGTGTGGGATCGTGGATTCGGGGAGCACAATTGATAGAAAATATGAAAAATAACTTTGAACACTTGCTGCAAAGTTATTTTAAAATGTTCTCTTTCCTTGATTTGAAAGTAAATATCACGGATATCTATGAAACAAAAAATCTTTTGCTACTAATTTTTTCGCCAATCATTATCATTATTCGTCATGAGGAGTAAATCCCTCAGTTTATGCGTATAGGTTGAGAATCGTCCTCTATAGATAAGATGAGCTAAATCATCATATTTTTGGTCAAGGTATTTGTGGTCTTCTGTTGTACACGTCATTTCCGGGTACCCTGTGGATTTTGGGTTATCTTCAGTTTATAGATGGTAAATAACGACATTTTAGTCGTTGTGCGTCGAAAACTTAAGAAATAACC